CACATCACCCGTGTTTACAAAAGTTCTAAATGTCCGATAGACGCTTTTCAAACAAATAATTGTGAAGCTATATCCTCACAGCTTCTATTATAAATATATCGTTGATATATCATCCTCCAGCGTAAATCATTCGAATAAGGCCTTGGCATTGTGGAAAATTTCACCACGCTAATCGAACACGCAATTACCACGCACGCCCCACGAATACCCACGAATAAATACATGTCACGTGATCGATATTTAGGTATTTAGATATATTTCATCTGGACAACCTTTTTGGCAATGACTGTATATATATATATATATATATATATATATATATATATATATATATATACTATATATATATATATATATATATATATATATATATATATATATATATATATATATATATATATATATATATATATATATATATATATATATATATATATATATATATATATATATATAAATATATATATAAATATATATATAAATATATATATAAATATATATATAAATATATATATAAATATATATAAATATATATAAATATATAAATATATATAAATATATATAAATATATATAAATATATAAATATATATATATATATATAAATATATATATATATATAAATATATACATATAAATATATATATATATATATATATATATATATATATATATATATATATATATATATATATATATATATATTAGCTCTATACTTCGGTATATCGAGCACTCTACTCATATATGATTCTAAATACATATTTATATATATATATATAATATATATATATATATATATATATATATATATATATATATATATATATATATATATATATATATATATATATATATATATATATACTATATAAATACTTGCCTTCGTATAGGTATACAATTTTTATAAAATACGGTATACTAAATAATTGAGTGATTTTTAATGTTTTTTCCATCAAAAGATAATTTATTTTCTCTTATCTTGCTTCATATCAAAGAACCAGAGTGTCAACAATTTTGTCCTGCGATATACGCTCCAGTATGTGGATCAGATGGAAAGACATATGATAACATGTGTTTGTTGGAAGTGGCTGATTGTGAGAGTGAAGAAAATATCACGAAAGTTCACGATGGTCCTTGTAGTGAGTAAAATGCTTTTTAAATATAATTTTAAACAATTTAGATAAATTTCTTTCTTAATTAAAATTTTTTTTTATATTAACATATTTCATTAAATAATCCCCGAGCCAACGGCGCGGGACGAGGGTACTAATTACGCCCGGCTATTTACACCCGGGGGGAAACGAAAGCATTAGCGAGGTCTAAAGTTCATCAATGATTGCGGGCGTGGGTGACCAACGGTGTTGAGTGGGTGGTCATCCTCACTGATCTCAAAATATGTGGCGGACTGTTATCAAGAGCCAACACTGATTGGTCAAATTTAAAATTTATTGTTGTATGACAAATGACGGCAGCGAAATAACAAACATTTCTTGCAAATCAGCAAATATATTGTATTTTTGCAAGATTTTGCAAACTTCAAAACCTTTTTGAGAGCCAAAAACCGTCTAAAAGAATGGAGCGAAGTCGCCGACGTTAATGAAGGAAAGTTTTTTTAATATTGATGTATTGTTTGCCGTATAATTGCTTTAAAAACTGATATGATCGTTGCGTATATAAATGACAGCATATAATTTCAGTGTATTTTTATTAATTACCCTTTTTTTGTATATTAAAATATTTAAATAAAGAGGAAAGCGAAGTTATCATGCAAGAATTTGAAATCAGTTTATTTCAATTTCCAAAGACCAAACTCACAGTTTTTATCGATGAAAGGCCGTTTAGTTTTAAGAATATTTTAAAACGTTTTGCGAAGCGTTTGTGGTTGAATATTTTACATTTAATTGAAGCTTATATTACGTATAATACCTAGCATGTATATGTTTGGGAAATTGATAATTTAATTTGTAATTAAAAGTGATATTTTGGGGGATTTTTTAATTTTAAAACTATTCTTAAAATGATCGTGTTACCATGACAATACTCCATGTTTGGAAAACATAATGGTTTTGTCAGCAAGGCGAGGGTTTCTGCATGCATGTATTTCTAGTTAAAGTGTTTATCCCAAAAACACAAATCGAGGGGACTCACAGAAGTTTATATAAAAGTATATATGGAAAAAAGATAAGAGAGGAAACACGTACATAGAGCATTAGCAAAGATATAAGAAAAAAGAAACAATATACATAACATACAACATCACACTGGGCTGAGGACTTCACAAATACCACACACAAATACTATAATCATTTATTTACAAGTCAATTTTAATTTATGAGGCGACAAGAGAAAAGCGATTTGTTGAAAGAATGTAGCTTTGTACTTCTTTAAAGAATTTACGATTATCAAAATAATTTAATTCTTGAATGCCATTAAGGATATAAAATACCTTAATTCCGATCCATCGCTAGTGCCTACTTTCCGTCCACCTTTAACCACATATCCGCTTGGCAGAGGCAAGAAATAAATTGCGTTGAGCAGCAAAACGGGAACAATTCAGAAAATAATGTTTTACAGATTCAGTTTTCCATTCCACAATGACAAGGAAGCGAAGACAGACGATTGATTTTAATTAAACAAAGGCTTTGACTGGTCTCGTAGTATTCAGCAGCACAGAAAACCGAGCTCAACCTGACAAACAGTTTGCCGATGGTGCTTTAATATATGCAGGGAAGCGATAAATACTCATTCAGACCATGAAATTATTAGGCAATCTCAATCGAGTGTGTAAAATTGATGCTCGACGAGTAAGAGAAACATCAAACTGAATTTTATTATACATGCACTAACGGACAGAACATGCATGCATTGATTTAATTTTAACTTTAAATGTATCAAGCAAATTCAAATGTCTTATATCAGTGCTTAAAGAATTCCATTGATTAATTGTTGAAGGAAAAACGATTGTTTAAATTTTACTGTTCGACATGAGATAGAGCTAACATTTTCACTCGAACGAAGTGAACGACGAGCCCTTTCTACAACAGTATTAGGTAATAAATCAACAAGATACGCTGGAGCTAGAGATGCACTTAGTAATTTTGTAGAAATAAACTTAATTTATGTAATTTTCTCCTATCACTGAGATTCTCTCATGCTAGCTCATTCAACAGAGCTATAGCACTACTAGCACTTGTGTCTTTAATCGCTCTGGCCACAACTTTAGCTGCATCATACTGAACATGTTCCAATAATTTTGCTTCCTCTTCACTACAATTCAATTGCCCCATATTACATCTCCATAATCCATCAATGGCCTTATCAAACATTTTTATAAACAAGCTAAAGTAGATCTATTATAACTTTATATTTGAGTAACCTCAACGTATTTTTATCTTGTTAAAGTCTTTTCACTAATATTTTGAATATGACTCCGCCACGACATATTATTTTGAAGTATATAAGCAGGGTGTCATCAGCATATATATAAGTGGACTGGAATCAAGATCTGTAGTAATATCATTTATATAAATAAGGAATAACAGTGGTCCAAGGACCGAACCCTGCAGAACACCAGATTTAACTCCGGCCCATTCCAATGAATGACCTTCAATAATAATACGCTGCTTTCTGTCTCTGACATAGCTTTCTATCCACATTAATAAAGTGTTTCTAACGCCCAATGTCTCGCGTTTTTTAATTAAGCCCGCATGCCACAATCTATCAAAAGCTAAAGCTTTACTTATATCTAGAAAAACTATACGAACTTCTTTACCGCGGCGTCAAGCGCTAAATAAATTTGATGAATAATGTATATCAACTGATTAACTGTAGAATTTCCAGGTCTGAAACTCGATTGATATTTGTATAGAAAACCAATTTTCAATAAAAAATTACAAAGGCTTATAAAAACGCGTTTTTCACAAATTTTCGAAAGCGATGGCAACAAAGAGACAGGACGGTAATTTACTATTTGTTGGCGATCTTCCTTTTTAAATATCGGAATTACATTTGCCAACTTCCACTGGGAAGGGAATTTACCCAATTTGAAAGATAAATTAATGAATTTAGAAAAAATCTATAAAATCCTTCACAACAAATGTGAATAATTTTATTTCCTACCCCCTCATGACCACATGCAAGCTTTAGATTTATCAACATTTTTCATTAAAACGAAAACTTCTTCAGGGGTGGCTATAATATCCGAAAGATATTTAGATGTTTGAAACGGTTCACGATATGGGGGAAAATTAGCTGAGCCAACCATGCAACTCCGTTTGTGCAATAAAATAACCATTAAAAATACGTGCTTTATATGTACTGGATCCGTTATCGAAACATGATTTTCGATTATTGTTGGTATGGAAGAGGGTCGATTATTGCCATATATCTGTTTTACAATTGCCCAGCACCTTGTTTAAGGTAGGATCACTCAGATCTGAATTCAAATTTTCATAATATGATTTTTTTTCATATCTAATTAGACAGGTAGTATAATTATGTTGTCTGCGATAACGCTCCCACGAATTTAGCGTGGGCTTTTTATTATGTATTTTAAGAAATAGATTACGTTTACGAATAGACAAACGAACGACCATTCATCCATGGTTTATCATTTGGTCTTATAGTCACTGTTCTAAATGGAATATGTTTCTCTATTATACACTAACGAAATTTCCGATACCATTTTTCATATATCACATCTACAGTGTGTATCAAAATAATTCGAATCCAAATTTGGCGTGTAATAACGCAGAATATATTTGACAAATTCGGTTGGTTTTTACACCATTGTTAAGTTCATTTATTTATCTTTCAAATGACATGCTGTACGCGACATTTAGTTGGAAAATGAAGGAGTATTGCTTTGACAAAAAAAGTCCATAAAAATCACAATTTTCCGCCGATGGGAATTGGACATTTTTTCTTTCAAAGTTAGTCCCACAAGGCTTTGAAATGCTAATCATCACTGAAAACTATAATGCAAATTTAACGCGAATTTCTTCTCGTTCAACATGTTGAAAGCATAGGAGCTTAAATCTCTTTAAATGAACATGAATTTATGTAAATTTTGCTACATAACAGTTTGTTGATTAATTAAATTTGCATTATCTTTTGTTTGTACGTCTCACTTCGAATTCCCATCGGCGGAAAAATTTGATTTCGAGCAACCAGTTTTAACACACGATTTCTTGGTCATTTTTGATCTTATTGGTATAAGAACGATATAATCGGAAACCTAATAGGCTATTCTTTATTGCCATATAAAAATTATATGGTTTACTTTAGTATTTTATAAACAGCAGTCTGTCAAATTTGCATTCGAATTATTTTGATACACACTGTATATCAAATCATTTTCTAATAGGGCAGGGTGACCAATTTGCTTGTTCAAGTTTGCAATTATAAGATTCACAACATCAACATTTCGGCTAAAATTCCACACATCCCTTTTAAAACAGGGAAATTTATAAAAATGAATATTCATCATTTCGCCATAAATTATTGAATGGTCACAGGTTGACGGAGAACTGAGAGTCCCTGTGTTTAAGAAATCATCAAAATGAGAAACCATGCTATTACTTATTAATAATTTACATAAAAATGTACGAGACAATTGTAGTTTTAACTTTCGCGTTTAATATAGCGAACATTCCACCGGCAAAGTTTTCCTGGCTTTGTTATATCACATTATACAACGCTAACAGCTTGAAAATTTCACTCTACTATGTAGTTTTTGTTAGTCTTGCTTAAGGTAAATGCTTTTCCATTTAAAAATAAAGATAAAAGCCATATTTTTCACGCGAAGGCAACTTTTACTTTATGTAGCGCGGCGCCATGTTTGTTTTGTTTTGAAGCAATCTGTGACCGTTAGTCCGTTACTTCTTTAAACTGAATTGCTTTAAACTGATTGGTTGATTTAATCATCACAATGTTTTTCCGGCCAATCAGATCAGTTTGTTACAGATTTTTGCATTGTGATTACAGAAAATTGCACTGTGATTACAGAAAATTGCACTGCTGTTTGGAAGTAACTGCACTGAAATCAACCAATCACAGTCGAGTAATATCTTTATGTATGAAATCTGCTGTGTTGGTGTAATGTACTCAGGTGAATAAGATGTTTGTGTGATGTTACTCTGAGTGTATATCCACACCGGGCAGGCTTGAAAAATATGCCTGGCCACGGCGGGATTCGAACCTACGACCTTTGGAATACTAGCCCAATGCTCTTCCAACTGAGCTACGCGGTCAGGACGGTTCGAGTAAGCGATATTTCGGAACTGAGTCTAGCACTGATATCGAAGGAACTAGACTCAGTTCCGAAATATCGCTTACTCGAACCGTCCTGACCGCGTAGCTCAGTTGGAAGAGCATTGGGCTAGTATTCCAAAGGTCGTAGGTTCGAATTCCGCCGTGGCCAGGCATATTTTTCAAGCCTGCCCGGTGTGGATATACACTCAGAGTAACATCACACAAACATCTTATTCACCTGAGTACATTACACCAACACAGCAGATTTCATAAACATTAGATTACACTGATATCGAAGGAACTAGACTCAGTTCCGAAATATCGCTTACTCTAACCGTCCTGACCGCGTAGCTCAGTTGGAAGAGCATTGGGCTAGTATTCCAAAGGTCGTAGGTTCGAATCCCGCCGTGGCCAGGCATATTTTTCAAGCCTGCCCGGTGTGGATATACACTCAGAGTAACATCACACAAACATCTTATTCACCTGAGTACATTACACCAACACAGCAGATTTCATAAATATTAGATTACACTGATATCGAAGGAACTAGACTCAGTTCCGAAATATCGCTTACTCGAACCGTCCTGATCGCGTAGCTCAGTTGGAAGAGCATTGGGCTAGTATTCCAAAGGTCGTAGGTTTGAATCCCGCCGTGGCCAGGCATATTTTTCAAGCCTGCCCGGTGTGGATATACACTCAGAGTAACATCACACAAACATCTTTATGTATATTATTATAACATATAACAACATTTGAATTACCGCCTAATATATGTGTCATACAGTGATTATGAAGTCTTTCTTGTAAATAACTATAAATATTAATATCTAGTTTTTCAGTATATAACTCCTCCTAGTATAGTATAATACTGTTTTTAATTAGGAGTATTTCATTAAAGCATTAAAGCATTAAAGCCGCACACATACAAGACCGTTTGTGTCAAATGTCACAAAGCCCGTCCTTTGGATTCACTCAGTGACACTTTGTGCTGCTGGTGCCCTTTCTTTGTTGTTTTTTGTTGTGATGCACTATTTAGTGTTTAACCCTTTGTATACAATAAATTTCTATGTATTTTACAACTCACGCGGGGAATCCGTTATTGGAGCTTCGGCTCTGTGGGTGCGTTTTTGTTATTCTGTAATTCTATTTTCTTTTATTTCATTTTAAAATAAAAGAACCAAAGTGTCCAGGGATCTGCCCCCAGGAATATGCTCCAGTATGTGGATCTGATGGAAAAACATATCCCAGTGAATGTGGGTTGAAAGTGACTATTTGTAAAAATGGAGGAAATACCACGATAGTTCACAAGGGACCTTGTTATAGTAAGTAAAAAATCTTTATTTACTATTTTTTCTTTCCAATCGCTCGCTTTGAATTTAGATTAAACTGTATTTGTTCGTTTGAATTTTCCGAAAATATTGAAATGAGAGGAATTTTACATTTCTTGCACGCTTTATTTATTTCTATATTTGTACGTTTGTTATGTTTTGTTTTACTAAATTTAAATTAAAAACGAACAAAAACCAAAAGAACTCGACGATTGTCGTTTAATCAATATCTGCAAAGCAGATGCAGATTTCGATTAAAAATTTACATAACCTTTATAGTTTCAATATTATTATTTCGGCAACAACTTACCATATTTAAAGTTTGTTCGTACGTTCAGGGCAGTCGTTTTCTTTGGCGAGGACTTTGGTAAACTTAATATATAAATGATACTTTAGATTCATTTCTCAGTATTATTACTAATATAAAGCATTGTAAATCAGATTTTTCACTCAAGCTACACTTAACAATATTGAATTGAAAGAATTTTAAACATTGCTGATTGATTTCTGTCAATGCGACGTAGTAAACTATATGTGAATCAGATAGGGAAACCCAATAATTTTTTATGGCATTGTGTGCATTTATGTGTATGATTGTCTCCAAACTATTTGTATATATATTTTTGTTAGAAACCAGATAAGATGGTGAAGAAGAGAAGTAGCCTACTAATCTAGAGAACGACAAGTATTCTCATCAATACCTTGTAATACTGAATAATTGTTGTTGTGTGTATAGATCGTCGTGATTGTATTATAGAGAGGTTCAGATTTGACTTCCACTACCGCTACCATCAATTAAGCGACGACAATGCATTAGCCAATCAGATAGGTTTGATATACCCGAGCGGTGGTGGAAGTCAAATCTAAACTTCCCTATTGTTAAGACGTTGTAATACAATTTAAATTGGCTTAGTTAGAAATAAAACTAATGTAATGCGAATAGAGAAATCTTATATCTGTGTATTGTTTGGTGAAATAAATTTGTTATGATAACGTGTTAGTAGTAATATAGGTACCGTTCGGGCCGGATTTTTGGGGCGGAGGAAGGGCGGAGGAGGGGCGGAGGAAGGGTGGCGCATCATTATAAATTCAGGGAGGAGGAGGGGCGAACGAGTGTGATGGAGTGTGGTGGAGTGCGGGTGAGTGAGGGTGGGGTAATTAATATTCATACATATGAGGGTGAGTGAGGTAATTAATATTCATACAATGAGGAGGAGTGATGAGGAGGGGCGCAGGAAGGGCAGAGGAGGGGCGGAGGAAGAGCGGAGGAGGGGCGGAGGAAGGGTGGCGCATCATTATATATGCAGGTAATTAAGGGGGCCGCACATTATATGCAGTTCACTTAAGATATGCATTGACGTCACGTGGACAAGCTTAAACAAGGTCGGACAAAACTTGCTGAGTAGGTATATTTTAGTGTCCTTCCACGTGTGTGATACAATAGAGAGAATAAGATTGGCTTACTATGAATAGTTTGAGTCCGAAATTAATATATAGCAGAGTTATAGCCGTATCTTTGCTCGGAAAAGATAAATTTGCACAGGTATATTGAAGGACTTTTCGTATGTTTACAAAATTATAGCGAGGAATCTATTCGTCACAAAAATCAAGACATATTTTAAACAGAACTAAACAGTTGCTAATCCCAGGTTAACATGGTTGTCAACAGCGTTAAGTTGTTATGATCAATATTTGCATGTTGTTCAACATTATTTAGCAAACCTCCTACATACAGAGGCGCCGGAATATCGATAATTGGGGGGACAGATATTCATGGATATATTCGTGTTCTGCCCAATTAATTTCTTTTGAAATCGATTGTTTTTACAGTATGTGAACACGAATATATGAATATCTGCCCCTGCAATTATCGATATTCCGGCGCCTCTGCCTACATACATATATATACTGTAAAGATGACCGAGTCAGATCATAAGAAAGCTTATCAAGAACTCATGGAGAAAAAACTTTTAGAATAGTTGTAATATATTTTGCCATAAAAAATAAATATGTTTTTATCAAATATGCGGTCGTTATATACGTTGTTATGTGTTGCTAAGTCATTAGGAGGCGTGTAGGTAATTAAGGGGATTAACGCAATACGAATTTGCATAACTGAGTGTATCCCAATGGATAGATAGGATAGTTATTTATAACGCAGGTGTATGCCTTAATATCGAGCGCGAGGCTGTGTGGGCAAAAATTTACACAAGATTTCAGTTTAAAATACATTTATTGCTTCAAAAGGTTTTACAAAATTTAGTACGGTCTACTTCTAAGAGCGGGCTTTGCAGGCAAAAGTTTGCACAAGATTTCAGTTTTAAAATACATTTTTTTCTTCAAAACGTTTTACAAAAATTTAGTACGGTCTACTTCTAAGAGCGTAACGTCTAGGTGCTTTTGTTATTTTTAAAGAGTTCTCATATTCTTAGGGAGCGGTCATTATTTATGGCGGGGGGTGGCACCGAAGAGAAAAAGGTTGGGTAAACTAAATTTTGAGTAAGTAAAAGTTTGGGTAAATGAAAAACAAAACAACTCAAGGGTTGGGTAATAAAAAGTTATAGTCATGCATATGTCAATACAATATGTGAATCAATCAGTCACTGTACGTCTTGATCATTTTCCAATTTGTTAGAAGACTCAAATGGTGTCTCCAAAGAAAGCACTTGTGCAGACAACATGATACATTAGACTGCAGCAAATTTCACAAGCAGTTATCAAACTCCTGTCACAGAAATCGGGTAAAGGACATATGTGACAACTGAATGGTAACCTTTTGTAAAGTTTAATTTTGGCCAGGGGTGGGTATTTATTTTTTACTTGATATTTGAGGTTGGGTAATCAAATTTTTTACTTTTTAATGGTTGGGTCAGCAAAATTTTTGCCACGAAAAACATTTCTCTTCGGTGCCACCCCCCACCATAAATAATGACCGGTCCCTTATCTATCTTGTGGGGATAACTTTGCAAGTTTCTCCGGCTTCATCGGAACCTAAGATACTGTATGATATCCTAAAATATTGTATGATATCCTAACATACTGTATGATATCCTAAGATACTGTATGATATCTTAAGATACTGTATGATATGCTAAGATACTGTATGATATCTTAGGATATTCAATATCTTAGGATATCAGTATCTTAGGATATCAATATCTTAGGATGTCAATATCTTAGGATATCATTCAATATCTTCGTATATCATACAGTATCTTAGGATATCATACAATATCTTAGGATATCATACAGTATCTTAGGATACTGATATCGTAAGATATTGATATCCTAAGACATTGATATCTAGCCTGCGAGCAGGCTCTCTGGGGAAAGAGAGCCTGCAAGGATCCCTATGATGATTCGGTGCATGCGTCCAATATTTGGACGCAGTGCTCTGATTGGTTGATAACTGATTCATATGAAGTGATTGACAAGCTTCCATAAACTTGCACTTCCCGTTTGTAAAACCGAGCAACGCAAAGCTTCGGAATTGCGGCAATGTAGAGATAAAAGTGTCATGTATTTTGATCCTGGTTGACTTTTTACTGTAAATTAATATAGTATTCATTTAAAGACGAATACTAAAAGCTTGCATGCTTTATTGTGTCCTTGGCTTGTCTGACTCCTAAGCTAAGAATAATTCTTGAGAAAGACTGCACAAATTCGCAAACCGAAACCTAGGGACTAGGCATTATATCGCTTCTCTTTTATGAAACAATATTGGGAATTCTGATAATATTCAGTGCATATTGTGTGTATTAAGCTTGTTTTACAATGTTATACTGACTATTTAATATTTATAAGTATGCGGCGTTAAAATGTACAGTAATTTACTCGTCACTTTGTTTACAATAATTATCACATGCATGTTTACTGCAATTCCACTTTTTGTTGCAAAATTTGAACTATAAACATATTATTAAATTATGTCCAATGTCCATGTTATATCATATATGTCTATGTCTCACCAAAGCCATAAATTTCAGTAAGTTATATTATTACTATATATATATAGACTGTATACAGTGTATATTATATATTGCAGCACGAAGCAATTCCAAATAACTGAATTAGTTAGCGGGTAATATACAACTTTAAACTTACTGTGCCTACAGGAGAAACACATGCAGATTGTAATAAAAAGTACAACTTGATATATTACTCTGTAAAACCTCGAGCCTTTTTAACTTTTTTAGTATGCCACAGTGGCGGTCTGTATACGAAATAGCCTGCGCGGCAGGCGGTATTTCTACAGGCAGCGAAAATTAGGGAGGCAAAGGAAATACCGTCTGCCGCAAAACTAGTAGCCTGCTCACAGGCTCTATTATACAGCCTCTGCCTGACAACGGCCTGCGAGCAGGCTACAAAACTAGGGGTTTTTGAATTACCCGTTCGCTGGTGAACGGGAAAAACGGATTGGTTAGTATTTTTATGTAGTTGTCAATCAACGGCTAAATTCGGTTAAATGTTAATCATTAACCAAATGTTTTGACGTTTTGAAACTCTGCGTTTTGAAATTAGTTCACGTTAGGGATGGGCGATACCACCTTTTTCATTCGATACGATATTTGCTCGATATTTGCCGGGTTTTTTCGATATCGATACCGATATCGATATTTTCCCAACTTGAAATCATTAACAACGGCCACAACGCTAACAATATAAACATTGAATAATATATATCAGTGATTGCAACCAACATAACCAGAAACTCCCATCCTTCCCGTGGACTATTATAGCACCATAGAAAATGAACTATTTACGTCTATTTAGGCTTTTTGGTATCATTTTCATGATGATGCCGCTGACCAAAATGAAAAATATCGCGGGCGCAGAAATATCGAAACATCGATATTTCTTGCCAGTATCGATACTTTTCTTCAAAACCCTGGTATCGATAGTATCGAGTATTTGGTATCGATATCGGCCCATCCCTAGTTCACGTCAAGTCAGACCAGAAATGGAATAACATAATAAAAGAAGCAAATTAAAAGATACAAGCTGAAAAATAACACTCTAAATAGTGTTTTTGATAGAGATTCGAACAAGAATATTTAACAAAGAAGATACGTCCGAAGGGGCCGAAGTTATGATCGGCGAAAGTTATGGGCTAGTCTATATTTTCTTTCGGACAATTACATGCGTATTAATTTGATAATATA